TATGTTGGGAATGAAAGCCAGGTCCTGCAGAGGAGCAACCAGTGCTGCTCCTGCCCACTAAGCCCCTCTCCACCCCACCTCATCTCCTGTGTGCTCTCTATTCTGTAAGATGTAGGTGACATCTGTTGAGCTGCTGTGAGGACTGGCTGCCATCAGGCCAGGCTCCACACGTCAGTGCCAGGTCTTCCTATGGCAAGCTCTAAGAGCTGACAAGGCAAGATGATAATGAGAATTACTCCACCTACTTAGTGTTTGCTGGAAAGTTATGCTGGGCACTGGACCATGCAGGAAGGATGACCTTTCCTCTCAGAGTTAAGAGTTTCTTCGTTATTGAAAAAAAGAATAACGGTCAAAATCATGTCTCACCCCATCTTCTTGCTTTAATAACTAAATGTAATAGGGTGAGACATTATATATTTTACCTATTATTCTAGAGATAAAAGTTTTGGAAACTGGTCTGATGGTTTCATTTTGGTCTTTTTATGATGAGGGATGGGATTAGAGACTCGTTATTGACATGAATTATGCCTGCCAGTTATAAAATGAGTGCAGAGTAGCTTTGCTAAAGGCGCCCTGCTGTGTTTGCTTGCTTGTTTAGAGACAGTCTCACTGCATAGCCCAGGCTGGCCTCAACCTCACTCTGTAGTCCAGGCTGGCCTCAAACTCGTGATCCTTCTGTTTCAACATCTACTATCCCTGGCTTTGACTGTACTTTAAATAGTTATATATAGTTTGGGCACATACTGGCAAAATACAACATGACAGCTTGTTATACCAATATTTGGTGAGGGGGTCTGCTTCATTTAATAGAAAAACTCCCAAAATCAGTGTATGGAGTTCTTGTCCTCAGACAGGAAAATTAAACTGTCAAGAATTAGAGGAGGGCTGAGGATGTGGCTCAGTAGGTAAGTACTTGTCACACGAATCCCAGAACCCATGTAGAACCAGATAGGGCAGAGTGTGTGTGTGTGCGTGAGAGAGAGAGTGTGTGTGTGTGTATGTGTATGAGTGTGTGTATATGAGTGTGTCTTGTTCTACTGTTCTAAAGCACTGTAGGAAGATCAGATATTGGATTCCTAAGAAACTCCAGGGCCAGCTAGCATGATCTACACAATGGTAAACACTAGGAGACCTTATCTCAAATAGGGAAGTAGGTGAGGAGCAGCACCCGTGGTTGTGCTCTGGCCTCTGTAAGCACACGGTGGCACTCATGTGTCTACACACACACACACACACACACACACACACACGTGGTGATAGACAAAGAGGTGGCTAAACCCCAATGCCACCTCTTTCTGGCCTTCACCGTTCTGGTGATTCATTCCTTTGGCTGGAAAAGAAAGAACTGTCGGTGCCTGGTATACAGTAGGCACTCAGTAAGTTGTAGTACATGGATAAGCAGTGAACTTTACAGTCATATCTAATGTTGCTCTTGTGCCCTGGGTACCACCTACTGTCAAAAGAAATCTCCTTCAAACCCTTAACTTCTCTCCCCAAGCATCTGTGAGACAACATACCAAACCATTCCTATAACACTAGGTTGACGGATTTTTCCAAAGGGTTAGGAAACTCTGTCTCCAGCAAAGATACTGTGTGGTTTGATATTAGGATGAGTCTCACAGAGATAATCGTTTGCAGCCAGGAAAATATTATAACACCAAGCAGAAATCATGGCTGTGTCGACAGCACTGGAAACACACAGGCCCTGCTCCGTGGGAACGTGGACAGTTATTATTTAAATTGCCTTCATGTTGTCACAGCCGTGAGAACTTTATAAGACAACAGTCTGTCTTTCCCGGGGTCTTGGTAGGAACTCGCTGTGTGACCCTGGCGTGACCTGCACAGATAGCTTGTTGATGTCTCCTTGGTGCCAGCACTGAGCTGCTCTGTGGTTCTGGATGCATTGGCAAGTGATGCCGAGAAGAAATCATATTTCAGAGCCCATGGGTACTGTGTAAACTCTCCCTGGGCACTGGGTCCTTGGCCAGGCCTTCCTGTTCACAGTTTTGTCAAGGCCTCTGGATGAGAGATGAATTTCACAACTCCATTTCAGTTCTGTCTTGCTCAGAAAGTAGCCCTGCACACTTGCCTGCCTTAGGTGCTTTTGCCCTTCTCAAACTCAAAGGTCAAGTCTATTGTAAGCCCGAAGTTCAGTGACTCTGCAAGTTACCTTCCAAAAATGCAGCTAACAAGCACTGGAGGAGACCAACAAAGGTCCCATAGAGGCGGAATCAAAGTCTTCAACACTGGATTGAACATCTAAAGTCAGGAGTCCTTGGGGTGCCTAAGATTTCCAGGAATATGGAAAATGGAAACCAAACCACAATGAGTCCATGTGCTGGGTAGAGCTTCAGAAGTGATTCCTAAATTCTGCTTTAGTTAATGTAACCAGAATGTAGAGATATCATTGCTGAGGTGATCCAGGATTAGTCATCTGTGGGATAGCCATCATCCCTGGGCTAGCCTCCATCCTTCCTCTGTAGGGTAGCCATCATCCCTGGGCTAGCCTCCGTCCTTCCTCTGTAGGGTATCCATCATCCCTGGGATAGCCTTTATCCTTCCTCTGTAGGGTAGCCATCATCCCTGGAATAGCCTTTATCCTTCTTCTGTAAGGTATACATCATCCCTGGGCTAGCCTTCATCCCTGGGATAGCCAACATCCTTCCTCTGTAGGGTATCCATCATCTGTGGGATAGCCATTATCCTTCCTCTGTAGGGTATCCATCATCTGTGGGATAGCCATCATCCTTCCTCTGTAGGGTAGCCATCATCCCTGGGCTAGCCTTCATCCCTGGACTAGCCTTCATCCCTGGGCTAGCCATCATCCTTCCTCTGTAGGCTAGCCATCATCCCTGGGCTAGCCTTCATCCCTGGGCTAGCCATCATCCTTCCTCTGTAGGGTAGCCATCATCCCTAGGCTAGCCTTCATCCCTGGACTAGCCCTCATCCTTCCTCTGTAGGGTAGCCATCATCCTTCCTCTATGGGGTAGTCATCATTTCTGGGATAACCATCTGAGAAAACGGCCATATATTTCTTTGTTCCCTGATGAAGGTGGATTTCTTCTTCTGTTTTAGAAAATATTTATTTTTTTACGTGTATGTGTGTTTTGCATGCATGTATGTATGTGCATGCTTAGTGCCTTTAGCAGTCAAAAGAGGGCTTCTGACCTCCTGAAGTGGGAGTTACAGATGGTTCTGAGCTACCATGTGGGTGTGAAGCGTGTGCCCTTAACTGCTGAACTGTCTCTCTAGCCCCTAAAGCTGGTTTCTTACTTGCTGTTTACCTGTAAAGCCTGACTCCTATGTCTCTCAAACATCACTTACACACACACACACACATACATGCACACACACGCATGCACCCACATACACATGCACACACACATGGACTCCAGCACATACACACATATGCACGTTTGCATGCATACACATACACACACATGAACTCACACACACACACACACGGACGCACACACACAGACAATTTTCTTTTCCTGGAAAGGAGTGTTAATCTTTTTGCAAAGACAGTGACTGCCTTACTGATGGTTCCTGTGGCCTGTCCCCAGGGTCAGTGGGGACAGCTCTTCTCATATGCAATGCCATCTTCAGGTTACTCTCTGGGTTCTCTCAGGCCACTGGTCTCTACTCTTCAGTGGCCTCTCTCACCCCGGTCCCCCACCTTCTCCAGCTTCCCGACTGCGCCCTGACCCCCATCACCATCAGTCCTCAGTCCCCCAGATCCTGTGTTTGTACAGGAATGGGAACCCAAGGGGGGATTTTCCTTGAGGTTTCCAAAGAAGCATCACCCTAGGAAAGCATGGCTGAGCAGCCCGGGCCCCGTGTCTGTCTGCCGCTAGCCCTGTTTGCTGTCACTCTGCGAGAATGAACAGCAGCTCGCTGTTCCCTGAGTGTTCCCAGTCAGCTGTCACAGAGGGAGTCTGGACACGACAGTTTCAGGAGTCGGTTAGCAAAATAGAAGCCAGACAGCAGCTTGGCTTCCCACGTATGTGCTCTGTTTCTCCCGATCGTGGGCCCCAGCATGGTCGCAGACGGCTGTGCAGGCTGCTGAGACAACAGGAATTCTTTACTCATGGTTCTGAAGATGGGGCAGCCAAGGTCAGGTGCCAGAGAGCGCCATGTCCACTGACCCAAGGGCGTTCTCTTTGGGTGAGGGGTGGCTGCATCCTCACATGGAGGGAGTGAAACAATGGGGGGGGCTCTCTTTCTCTTTCTTCCTACTTGCTTGTCTCGTACATGTGTGTATGAGTGTGTGTGTGTGTGTGTGTGTGTGTGTGTGTGTGTGTGTGTGTGCAGGTATACACATTCATACGCTTACCTGTGAAGGCCAGAGTTCAGTGCCTGGTGTGGTTCTCTGTCACTTCCACTTGATTCTCTGAGACAAGGTCTCTTCCTGAAGCATGGATCTCACCAATAGGCTGAACTGGCTGGGCAGCACTGGGACCGTGAGTGCACACACTGCATGCTGGGCTTTTCAGTGGACCCTAAGGTCCAGCTCCAGCCTTTATGTTTGATAAGTGATTTACCCACTGAGCCAGCTCCCCAGTTCCTCACTGTCCTCTCCTCCTTTTGTCACCGGCTCTACCGTCTTGACCTGAGCTAAATCTGGTTACCTCTCTATACCATTGCATGGGGCTTAGAGCTTCAGTGTGTGAATTTGGGGTACCATAATATTCTGACCTTTTTTGTTTGTTGGTTTGTTTGTTTGTTTTCGATACAGGATTTCTCTACAGGTTTGGAGCCTGTCCTGGAACTAGCTCTTGTAGACCAGGCTGGCCTTGAAGTCACAGAGATCCACCTGCCTCTGCTTCCCAAATGCTAGGATTAAGGCACGCGCCACCACAGCCTGACTTACTCTGACTCGTGTAATGCTTTCATGGTCTTTCCCATATCTCTCCTTGGACCACTCCATGTATCACTAGCCCCGAGCCCTGCCCTCTGGGTACCCTACTGACAGCAGAACCTGTCTTCTTCTCCCACAGGAACTCTCCTGATGCATGCAGCGTGACCAAAGGTGGGAAGATGGTGGACAGCCCTGATCCCGTGGGGATGAGCTATAGCAGCTACATGGAGGAGAAGCACATGCCACCACCCCCCAACATGACCACAAGTGAGCGCAGAGTGATCGTCCCCGCAGGTCAGAGTCTTGGAGTCTCACTCTGGTTAACAATCCCTCCTCCCAGGAAAGATGGGCCATCCCTAGTCAGGGACGACATGGCCACCGTTCTTGCTTGGGTCTGCTCTCTGCTTCACCCTGTGAAACTCAGCCCCATGTCAGTCTGTCCCGTTGTTCTTGATGAGTGCCGGCTACACCAGAGACTGAGAGAGTGGGTGGAGGGGTAAAGGTTCCATGGCTGAACATGCATAGGAGGAAGTAGAAACCCACAAGGAGCCCACCCCAGCCTCTGGCTTCCTCTTGAAACACTTCATTTGTTCATCCGAGGCAAACCAAGTTTTATTCATGTAAGATGGAGGACCAGGCTGAGCCAAGGCCTGCCTGAAGCCTCTATTTTATCCTTGTAGAATCATGATGTGTGGTTTCGCTTTGGGCCATCTCGTATTTCTGGGGTGTCATCAGGGTGCCTCTATGTTAGCAAAGTCTTTTCGAGGGAGAAGGGCCTGACTTGGGCCTCTCCACAGAGGAACATGAGGTGAGGAATCAGATCGGTCGACTTTCCGTGAGTGTCAGCAGGTCTCGTTCAGAGGCACTCGTTCAGTGATGGCTGGACAGACCAAAAGGTGCTTCCGCAGATGGCGTCTGGCTGGCGCAGAGCAGCGGGCTGTTTCTTCATTTTGAAGGAAGCTGCTTTCAGCTGTGCCCTCCTCGGGTTGCTTCATGCCAATGAAGGCAGTTATTCAGTTAATGGTGTTGGTAAGACAGTGAGCTGGGGATGGTTTTGCAAGTTATGAATCTTTCAGTTATTGGTCAAGCTCCAGGTATGTGTGTTCACACGTCCACAGATGAACACACACACACACACACACACACACACACACACACACACTAGCAGCAGCAGAAGCTGTTGTATCCATCCCTTCAGCAGCAATACAGGGTTTCTAGCTGCCTCACTCAGGCACTTTTGGGGTGTGGAAAGCTCTGCACACGTTGAAATCTCCAAACCTGAGTGTCTGGTTCCTGGAGCTCCTGGTACCCAAGGAGGTGAGATGAAACCTTAACTGCTCTCCAGCATTTGCTCTTTCCATCACTACCTGCTGACATTCATATCAGACAGAGCAGGGTGGGGGAGAGACAGAGACAGAAACAGACATATACAAAAGCAGGATAGATTCAACTTTAGACTAAAGTAATGAGGTGTGTGGCCAAAATGGAGAATGTAACATAAAGGAAGACCCACGTGTGATACACATGGTATCCATATAAACACATGGTACACATATCTGTGTGAGCATGTGGTACAAATGGTATTGTTGTAAACATGTGGTACACATGATATCTGTGTGAACATGTGGTACATATGGTATCCATGTAAACATGTTGTGCACATGTGAACATGTGGTACAAATGGTATCTATGTAAACATGTGATATGTGATAACTGTGTGAACGTGTGGTATACATGCTATCCATGTAAACATGAACGTGTGCACTCCTCTACTTGTTATGAGACTGCATCCCAATCAATAAGTTCATTATACACTGAAATGCTGCACTTCTCTAGAAGGCATGCTAGCTTAGACTCACCCATCTAAACACCTGCACTAGCAAAAATCATCACACCAAGGCCCACTTATAATAAAGTGCTGAGTGGCTCAGGTGATGTGTTGACTGAAACCCAGAAGGATTGTTCTTTGCTCCCCCCCTAGTCTGGGAAAATTCATTTCCTCAGCTCTATTTGGTGTCAGCTCAGATTTCCATTGTGACACATGGCACGGACCCCAAAACCAGAGCTATCTTCTCTCCTTGGTTCCTAACAACAGGCCAAATCTAGTAGGTTTAACTCTGAAGTCTGATTTCCAGATGTTTCCAAGGCTGTGGCCACAGATCTGTGTGTAGAAACAGTGGGTTCCAAGTGCACACAGAGAGCTGGTACTCTGTGTAATGTAAGCATCGTGCATCTCACAATCTCCTGCATCAAGGCTGTGTCCTCTGTGTGATGGGTGTGCCTCTGTGATTCTTTTTTGGGTTTTGTATTTTGTTTTCTTGAGACAGTTTTTCTCTGTGTAGCCCTGGCTGTCCTGGAACTCACTCTGTAGACCAGGTTGGCCTTGAACTCAGAGATCTGCCTTCCAAGTGCTGGGATTAAAGGTGTGCACCACCACCACCTGGCATACCTCTGTGATTCTTAGAAGCAAGTGTGTGGAACCGAGGCTGCTATTTCATTATCGGTGGTGCATGCCAGGATGTGCTAACGGTGTGGGTTACTACAGAGCGGGGCATGGTCACAGCCTTCATGACATTCTTAAAAGTTGCAAAATGCTGAACCAGTGTAATAGGACCTCTGGTTTTAGCGGTTTATAGCATTTCTTTTTGTTTCTCCTCTAAAATAGGTACTAAAATGTTCAGGCCACTCTCTCTTTTTTTGCCCACATTTTAGTTTTGTTTTTCAAACAATCAGCTCAAACCCCTTGATATGAGTATCTCAGAGCCTGAGTGGCCACACCCATCTCTTCCTTTGCTCTGCATTCTCTAAGTTTTTCCTGTGTTCCATCACCATGGACAAAGGCGCCTATGAGACTGCACTGTTTCTTCTCCGTCTCCAAACACTCAGGCTGCAAAGCCCCGGCTCGGTATCTTTCCAAGCCCATCCATGTCGGATCACCCAGGAAGTGTCCCCTGAGCATCCGTTACTCCTGCCAGTCTCTTGGGAGAGGTCAGAGAGCACTCAGCACGACCCATCCAGGCGGGTGACTGGAGAATGTACGGAGCTCAAATTAATGACTCTGATGTGTGTTCTAGAATATCCAAGCAAAGTTAGTTTGTGCAAAAGAGAGGTTGTGAAAGTTTCCTTTATAGCCATCATGGCCCCTTTGCAGCCTCTGCCTTTTCCTCAGCCTCTGTTTCCTTAGTTCCTCCTCAGTCATACTCTACCCCAGGCACACTACTGCCCGTACCCTGCGTCTTCAGTGCCTGGGCCTGTGCTGTGTGCATGGCTGTGCTACCCTTCTTCCTTCCTTTGGTAACAAACTCTGCGCATCCTTCAAGACCTCTTTTCAGTGCCCCACACCTATGTGCTTAACTCTCTAGCAATTGCTTTTCTTATGATACCTGACCAATCATCATGTTTTTGTTTCAGTCCATATGCTTATATGGGACACGAATATGTTTATAAAAATAGAGACAATGGATTTAATTCTAAAACATACCTGAGATGCTTTATGAGGTGTAAACTATTGACCACAGGACATGTGACCCAAAATCAAAATTCAGATTCAATGAAATGTGATTACAATACACATGGAAGACTAAGTATGTGAGGGAAGAATGAAGTCACGCTGACGGCAGGTTCGGCCAAGACGCTGTGATTAAGCCCCTAGTGTGGCTTTGAGCTCCTGGTTGTCAAGATAAAAGCTGCAATTTGGGGAAAACAATTAAAAAGTTGTTTCATAGGAAAAGTAATGCTTCTCTCAGCCCAGACTCCAGAAGCAGTGTTCTTGGAGCCCACAGACCTGACTGCCTGCTGCTTCATTTGTGGCTCAGCCTTTCAGCATCCTGGGTCTTCTGACTGCCATGGAAAGGCTGAGCTACTTACACTGCAGTCAGCCCGGGGAGGGCAGCAGCAGGACAGCAGCCGGTTACCGGGACTCTTCCGTGGCTTCGTGCGACAGGGTTTGGAGTTCTCAGAGTGATAAGGGACTGACATGACCCTCCCTAGAATGACGTTGCTGAGCCGCACCAGGAAACAGATAGGTGATGAGGATTAGATCACCCTCCACCCCCCCCCCCCCGGCTCCGATAGCTGGACCTCATATTTTCCTCGCTCCAGCTCTGTTATTTATGAGGCCTGTGTGACCAGATGGTAAGTTGTGCCAGGAGCGTCTGGCGTCCTAATCACAGAGCTGCAGGTAGGCACAGTAAAGGCCACATGTTGACTTGACGATAATTGTCACTTATTAAGCAGGAACCAGGGGATCCTGGGAGTTGTGTGGTGATTGGAAATCACATTTCAATGTCTCTCATGAACCACGAGAAAATAAATACTCAGAGAGATGAAGACGCTGTCCCAGAGGCACCCACACAGTTGAGTGGGGCCTGGGTCTGCAGAGAACCCATTGGTAGAATCCTATAGTCAGTGCTTCGTCTTTCTCTGTCACTGTCACCCCGCCAAGCTCTCCTGGTGGCCTCGCCCATTATGTCATGTGTCTCCCAACTAAACCACCAGACAAGTGAGAACTGAAACCACTTTATCTGTAAAGTTATCAGCTGCTGGTGGCTGAGGGAATCGTGGGGGTCATATGTAAGACTGGAATGTTATGAAAGAAAATGGATGGTAGCTGCCACCTACTGTATACATGATTGTCAGGCTGACACCTACTGTATACATGATTGTCAGGCTGACACCTGCTGTATACATGATTGTCAGGCTGACACCTGTTGTGTACATGGTTGTCAGGCTGAGACACCTACTGTATACATGACTGTCGGGCTGATACCTACTGTGTACATGATTGTCAGGCTGGCACCTGCTGTGTACATGGTTGTCAAGCTGATACCTACTGTATATGCATGATTGTCAAGTGACACCTACTGTATACACATGCTTGTCAAGCTAACACTTACTATATATGTATACACATGTTTGTCAACCTGACACCTACTGTATATGCATGATTGTCAAGTGACACCTTCTATATTTGTATACACGATTGTCAACTTGACACCTGCTGTCTGTGCATGATTGATTGTCAAGCACACAGACACAGCATTTCTAGAAATGGTGGAGACCCTGCCAAGATATGATGCAGGGAATATCCATTGCTCTCACTCTACTGAAGAAACAAAACTTACGACACCAAGAGAGTTGACCTGGGTGCTCTAGCCAGTGTCATGAAAAACCAGAATTCTATCCCCGTGTTGTGTAACTCCCATGTAAACTCTTAATCCCATATAAATCAACAAAAACACCCAAGAAGAGCTAGGGGATGACATAGTGGAGTTTGTTGAGTTAGTGAGGTTCTGCGATGACCTTTTCCAATAGTTCAAAGTGAAGAAGAGAATCCTTGCGAGAATACACAGAAGGGTACAGAATTACTCTGACTTATTATGTAAATCGAGGGTGGAATTAGATTTCCAAGCAGAGTGAGTCTATTGATAACTGTTCCTCCCTTCAGGAAAAACGTTTTAAAAATGGGCCTTAACCAAAAGCTGGTTCTGTGGAAGTCTAGAGAGAGACGGGCACAGAGCAACAAGCATGTCTCTGTCCTGGTTTCACCTATGCTGCTGTGGCAAAAGTGACTCAAGAGACTCATGATATAGCATGCTCACATCACGTCCACAGTCAGGAGCAGAGAGAACTGCATACGTGTAGCATGCTCACATTACGTCTACAGTCAGGAGCAGAGAGTACTGTATGCATGTAGCATGCTTACATCACGTCTACAGTGAGGAACAGAGAGAATTGCATGTGTGTAGCATGCTTACATCACGTCTACAGTGAGGAACAGAGAGAATTGCATGTGTGTAGCATGCTCACATCACATCCACATTCAGGAGCAGAGAGAAGTGCATACATGCAGCATGTTTACATTACTCCACAGTCAGGCGCAGAGATAATGTGAGCAGAGAGAACTGCATGCGTGTAGCATGCTTATTTGCTTGCTTATCCTCAGCACCCTTCCTCCACTTGTATACAGTTCAGGAACTCTGCCTAGGGAATGGTGCTGCCTGCAGAGGGCTGGGACTTCTCAGATCAGTCAGCGTAATTAATGCAATTTCTCATCGATACACTCATGAACCAGCCCAACATAGACAATCCTCCATTGGGAATCTCGTCCCAGGTGATTCTAGGTTGTGTTAACAGTCATCAAAGCCTCCTAGGTGGGCAATGGGAACAGTGGTGCGGCAGTGCTGTCGTGTAGGAGAAGGGATTGGAAGTGAAGCTTTGCTTTTGTTGTTTGAGAAAAAAGAGAATTTTCGGATCCCTGTGAGTTCGAGACCAGCCTGGTCTACAAGAGCTAGTTCCAGGAGAGGCTCCAAAACCACAGAGAAACCCTGTCTCGAAAAACCAAAAAAAAAAAAAAAAAAAAAAAAAGAAATAGGAGAAATAGCATGGAAGATGGAAGTGGCCAAATGGCAGTAGGAGAGGGGATGGACATAAAAAAACAAAATAGATCACCTTTGGGTTAAAGCAGTGGCTCACAGTGGTTAAGAGCACGGGTTGCTCTTGCAGATGACCTAAGTTCTATTCCCAGCACCACATGGCAGCTCACAGCTGCTGTGGCTCTTAACTTCAGTGATCTGATGCCCTCTTCTGGTCTCCACTGACACTGCACACACATGGCACATGACATGTGGGAGGGGCACCCATGCACATAAAATCAAAATAAATAAAATGAATTAAATTAGATCCTAGGAAGGAGGTGAAAACAGAGCCAGCAAAGCAAGAACAATGGGAAGTATGAAATCCAGAGGGTGCAATAAAATAACTCACCCAAGCAATTATGTATATTGATAAAATATTTCACACACACTGAAATAATTAATAGTAAACAGCTGGAATGAGACATATTATTCAAAAGCTAACAAGAATCTAAAAAAAAATAAAATAAAACATTGACAAATAAGATTTTAGGCAAAAAGCCCTATTAGGGATGACAGAGGTTTATTATGTAGTATTGAATTCATAGAAAAGGCATAATGATGATAAACACATGTACCTTGTAACATAGCCTCAAAATTAATAAACAACGGTGAGGGAAACAAACAAACCCATTTCAGTGCGTGAGGCTGATTTACCTTTCTCAGTAATTGGTAAGTCAAAGACATAATTGTGTGTGTGTGTGCGTGTGTGTGCGCATGTACATGTGTACGTGAATTCTAGAATTCTGCAGGCAGTGGGTAACGTGCTTTTAGGAACGCAAAGGGACATTCACAAATATCACCTTGGTCTCTGCCATCTCAAAGGCTAACAAGGCAGAGTGTTAAAAAGATCAGTGTTGTAGCAGACCTTGCTCTCTAGCCAAGCTGAATAGAATTAAAGGCCAAGAGGGTAGATTAACGTAAGCCGCAGGCCATCAATTATAAATTTGAAAGTTTCAAAAACAGCTTTGAGGAAGTCCTTCGCTTGGGGTCAAATTTCGGTTTGTGGTATTGAGCACTTCTGAAATTCCCGCTCTCGGCTGGGCCTGCTTTGTAAACAGGGCTCTGCCCTCATCGGGAGGCCAAATGTCAAGTCCCTGGGCTTGTCCTAGATTCAGGTTGGCTCCCTGGCACCAGGCCTGTTTTACAGTAGGCCTTCGATCTGGCTTGGGGGTGCATTTTATTATGTAGTCTACATTTTTCATAGCCGAGAGTTACTTTTCTGTTGTGGAGGCATCTCGCTGATATTCTCCATCAATTCAGCTCATGTTGAATCGTGCCCTCTAGAAGCGCTTTGGAAATGGAAGTGTTCGCCCGTGCTAGGGATTGTGTATAATGATGGTGTAGTCTGGTATTGACCGCACAGTACCCTTTTCCCTAATTTCAGCCACTATCTATTCATATTTTCCTGGCAACTGATGAACTCAACTGGATCAGAATCTTGTTTTATGGAACTAGAAGAGGGTTTTCTGTTTTTTTTTTTAATTGCATGTTAATTTATCTGTTGTGTAGGCAGATGGGGACTCTCCATAGCTAGTGTGTGAGGGTCAGAGGACACTTGGGTGGGTCATTTCTCATCCATCACCATGTGGGTCCTGAGGATCACACTCAGGTTGTCGGGCTTGGCAGCAAGTGTCTTTACCCACTGACTCATCTCCCCAGACACAGAAAGTCTTTATGACTTTTTCCCGCCCTGCTCACGTGTGTCTCTTTCTCACATAGGCATTAAGAATAACATAATTGGGAAACTCTATATGGTGATGTACTTATATGTTTTAAGATCTAGTTGGCTAGAATAGAATTTATAAACCTATGGGCTATTAATGATGTGGTATAAGATACAGAAAAGGCAGGAGGATCTCTGGTCCCTTGTCCTTTTGCTGTTCTTGGAACCATATTGACACAACATGGCTGTTTCCATACAGTCCAGCTTCCCAGGAGGAAGCTGAACACACAGTGTCTTATCTTCTTTGGCTTATGATTTATTCAACAGAAGCACCTCCAAAAGGCTCTTAAAATAAAAGATAAATCAAGCTCTTCTGTACACAGGAAGAGGCAGCCCTGGAAATTGAATTCATTATTTCATTTTAGCCGAGTTGACTCTGCAAACCCTCTTGTGTGGGTCTTTTTTCTCTCTGGTTTGTTACTGTTGGCCAAGTGTTTTCACACACATTATCTCATTGACTTTCTACCTCCGCACTGCAATAGTTCATTTAATTAGCCACAGGAAAAAAAGAGTAACTCCAGAGGAGGCAATGTTTACACCTGGTAAGAGCCCAAACACGCATGTGCTGACTCCCAAGAGGGCCTTCCATTTTCATCACTGAGTTCTCTGTACTTGCTGTACTTAAAGATGCCTTCACACATCTAAGAAATTCCTAATGACTCTAAAATTCCACAGTGTAAAACTTGACCTTACCAAGATGCTCGGGCTTCTCCTCCATCTGACCTCAGCATCCCTGCCCATTCCTCTTCTCCATCCTCCGTCTGCATCTCCCATCTCCACTCATCATCCGCCTCCTCCACTTCTACCCCATCTTCACGCCCCATCTGAATCCCTCTTCTTCATCCCCAGTCCCCATTTCTATTCCCTGTCTCTTTGGGAAAACATACTGACAGCTGAGTCACATTCACTGTAAGAGCGTTTTGAGTCCCCTATGCCTTATTTCAAATTCCCTGGTTAGTAGTTTGCACAGATATGGTTATTAATTTATTCTTGTGTGTGTGTGTGTGTGTGTGTGAGAGAGAGAGAGAGAGAGAGAGAGAGAGAGAGAGAGAGAGAGAGAAGCTCTTGGAGTTGAACACAGGTCTTCATTGTTTTTAGATACAGAATTTTATTTTCCTTTCCACTGACAACCATACATTAGTATCCCAGGATGATGGCAGGACTCCTTAGGAAGGTATCCACGTGATCTGGGGAGGTAGCAGAATGCCTTCTGTGTACTTTTCCTTATTCCATCCAGCAAACATTGTTAGCTATTTCCTTAGCTTCCCATTGCTCTTTTTAAAAAACTTTTTATTCATTTTACATACCAACCACAGTTCTCCTTCCCTCCCCTCCCCCTGCTCCCCTTCATCCCCCTATCTGCTCCTCCCTAAAGGGTAGGGAGTCAACAAAGGCTGGCACATTAAGTTGAGGCAGGACCAAGCCCCTTCGCCCTGCATCAAGAGTGAGCAAGGCATCCCACCAAAGGGAATGGGCTCCAAAAAACCAACTCATGCACCAGGGATAGATCCTGGTCCCACTGCCAGGGGCCCCTCAAACAGACACAACCGTTACCCAAATGCGGGGGTCCAGTTCAGTCCCATGCAGTCCCACGCAGGCTCTCCAGCTAATGGTCTAGAGTCCAGGAGCTCCCAGGAGCTCGGGTCTGCTTTCTCTGTGGATTTCCCCATCATGATATTGACCTCCTCCTCCCCTTGCTCCTATAATCCCTCCTCCCTCTCTTTGCTTGCAAAGCAGATACTGTAGAGACCGAGCCATCTCCCCAGCCCTATTTACATTCTTTTGTGATCTGTAATTAGCACTTTGTTGATGATGTTTTATAACTCTAATCTTTTATATAAGCACCTCAGTAATTTTTCAAGGGATACATTTTAGTTTTATACATTTTTAAATTAATAAGTAAAAGTGACAGTAACTGAAATGGAACCCAGATATCTACAGGAGATTGAGCCACAGCAGTGGCCGAGCTAATTCTCTTCAACTAGGAGGATGCTTCACTTGAGGGTGGAGATTGGTGCATCTGGAGCTGTGTGGGAGGGAGGCTGCTCAAGGGCTGTGACTGGTGTGCACTCTGCGTGCAGTAGATTTGCCTGGAGCTGCTGAGTCTGTCCCTGTTCCCTTTCAGATCCTACTCTATGGAGCACAGACCACGTCCGGCAGTGGCTGGAATGGGCAGTGAAAGAATACGGCCTCCTAGACGTGGACGTCTTGTTATTCCAGAATATTGACGGGAAGGAGCTGTGCAAGATGACGAAAGATGATTTCCAGCGGCTCACTCCGAGCTACAACGCCGACATCCTTCTCTCACATCTCCACTACCTCAGAGAGAGTAAGCTGCCTGCCCTCAGTAGCCCTGCTGTTGCCATGGTCGCAGACCCAACTTCAGGAGGGTCAGACAGGGTGGCCCCCAGCATCCTCTTGTTCTCACTGAGTGCCCATGTCTGACCTGAGTAAACCACACCGTAGAGCTGAGAGCTTCCTGATGTAGACAACAGTGCAGACTCTTCTGGAAAAAGGGCAGCAGCCTTCTCCCTCCTCCAAGGAAAGTAGAGTGTGGTAGAGAAGTGGCCACACCCTCCACAGAGTCTATGATGTCCGAAGCTGGAAGGCAGCCAAGCCTCCTCCTGGATGGGATTGTGGGTTGTTATCTTCCTTAGAGCTGTGTGAACCCCTCCCGCATCCAACCTGAACACCAAAAGGGAGGTTGTTCACTTGAGAGAATAGGTTCCTGTCGGTCAGTATCGGCATACATCTTAAGGATGCTGCATGCCCTAGTGCCGACATCTCTGAACACTGTCCCAAAGGATCCCAATACAAGTGGGTAGGGTTCTCCTTGGTGGTTTTGCCTGGCATCCCATGCCCGTGTCTCCCGTGTGAAGTTGCCCCCTTTCATATTTAACGCATTAACCAGTATTGCAGGGTTTAGATGTTTCCAGCACCCCAAGATGAGGGTGGGGAGGTATGTTTTCCTTTCTTTCCTCTTTGATTCTGTTTATTTTTAAGAAAGGCCATCCCCCCGCTTCTCATCTCAGTGTTGCTCTGTGTTTTGTTTTGTAGCTCCCCTTCCACATCTGACTTCCGATGACGTCGATAAGGCTTTGCAAAACTCTCCACGGCTAATGCATGCTAGAAACACAGGTAATGCTAGCCCTTCCCCACCCCAGGAAAAGCGTAGGGCCCTGTCCACAGGGGCGTGCTTTCGAGTGAAATCCACAGGTTAGAGTTAGAAGGCAGACACACGGGTGAGGAGAGGGGGCCGTTGGGTATGTGAACACTTCCGTTTCTTCCACCACAACCCCCTTAGCCAGGAAAGGATTTTCGATTTTGATTGTTTGTTTGTTTTGCTTTTGGACCAATTGTACAAATCATTCTACATGTGGCACTGTGAGTCCCAATCCACCAGTCCCATTGCCTATGGAGATGAAAAGCTCCCTGGTCTAGCCTCCCCCCCGAGGTCTGTTAGTCTCTGTTTTCATTCCCAAAGCAGTGTTTTCTACGATTCCTTGGTGTTTCTCAGACAGGTTTGGCCTATTGGACTTGCCTCAATTTAATCTTCTGCACAGATGCGTATGTTTGCAGAGGGCCATGGAAGGAATGTCTCATACATTTTGCAAACCTTTTCTCAAGGGAAACCCTGCTACAATATTGGAGAATATAAAACTGGCCCCCGATTCACTGCCTTCCTTTCTGTCTCTGACTACAGGTTCTACACGTGTCTCTGTTGCATGCGAGAGCTAGCAGGGCTTACAATGGTCCTTGTCCTGACTAACCTCCCTTCCTGCGCTCAGTACACTTAGGGTTCTCTGGATAAATGTGTTACTACTCATGTTCCATGTACAGATCCTGCTCCCCCTCCCGATGGTGTCCGTGGTGGGTGTGTAGCCACTTGCTGTTCACCTCCTGGATTAGTCTAGCACCAATCCCTACCATGCCCTACCAGTGCCCAGCTAGGGCTGAAAGTAAGAGCCAGGAAACCTCTGTCTCCTTGTAAGCAAGCAAGCAGGCATTACCACGGATCTCCCCGACTGAGCAAGGCAACAGCTTACCACATATGCTCCTTCTAGTTTCAAGTGTCCAACCTCATATGGACTGAGCCTCAGTTTGTATTTATAGTAGAAAACTGGTTTTCTTGGTCTTCGGCCACCGAAAAGTACTGTGAAGTACTTTAAGTTGTTTCTTCTCAGTCTGCTTTACACATATCAACCTGCTAATGAGCTGTGGCCAAAATTAGCAAAGAATCATCCCCTCGTAGGAAACACCTCTGAGCCACATACGGACTCAAGTCGTGATCATTTAGAAATTCTTTAACAGTGCCTGAATAGTCCAAAAACTTCAGAGTTCACTAATTTTATTTTAACTATACCTAGAGGCAATCCAAAGACAAGGATGATAAATTTCCAAAGGACTTAATGCCTAAGGGGAAATTTCCTCATTTGGAGGAGATGGTTGTTGATTGAGGAAAATAAGGAGAATCATGTATTTGAATAGAGATATTGATTAATTCTGAATACACAGCATAGAGTCTTACGCAAAAAAAAAAAAATGTATAATCCTTCCGAGATCTGCTTTCCAAGACCTATTGTGATATTTTGTGAGGCTAGGTGGTGGTGGCGCATGCCTTTAATCCCAGCACTTGGGAGACAGAGGCAGGTGTATCTCTGTGAGTTCAAGGCCAGGCTGGTCTACAGAGCAAGTTCCAGGATAGGTTCCAAAGCTACACAGAAACCCTGTCTCCGAAAAAATAAAATAAAAAATAAAATAAAATAAAATTTAATAAAATAAGAAGATTGCTTGTGGAACACAGTGGGGCTCCATCAAGAAGCCCACAAAGAAATACAAAGGAATAATAAACAAAGTGTAATATTTCATACACACAGGAGACTCAAGTCCACATTCAGGATCCGAGTCTGACCCAGGGCTTCTGTTTGCCAAGAGCTCTACTGACGTTGCAAGGCCTCCCCAAGAGTGCAGGGAAAGGAAGGTTGGCACTGATGCTCAGGTTGACAGTCACCTCGAAGGACCTTCACACGTTGTCTCTCCTTTTGTCTGCAGGGGGTGCAGCTTTTATTTTCCCAAATACTTCAGTATATCCCGAAGCTACGCAAAGAATTACAACTAGGCCAGGTACGCTAACACCCCCGGGTGATTCCGTCATTGAGAGTCCCAGATGTCCAGCTTAGATCCAGAATCTCCACCTGTGACCCAGGAGCATGTCCTAGATCCAGAGTACAGTGCATTGCGCCAGCCTTTTCTCTGTCCCTGTGGATGCCTCAGCTGCTGCATTTAGAGACCACAGTAGAGGGGCCAAGCTGTGGAGGCAGAAACAGATAAGGGACTTATGTAATAGCTTCGAATATTTGGGCCAACACCTAAGATAGGAACCCTTGCACTATCAAGTTAAGGGAAGGATTGATATGCAATCTGCCCCTTGTGAGGAAAGAGCAATTCCAAAATCAGGAGCGACTGATTCTCATCACCCAATTTATTTTTCCAGTGGAGAAACATCTAACATTTAATATTAACATCAGAGTCATACTTTATGGTTTTTATGATTTAATTAAGTAATTAATTTACATACCACTCATGTAAAAACGAATTTTTGTTTAATGTCAATCACAGAATTAGCCTCTGGAAACAGAAAGCTGAACCAGGTTCCAACACTGTCTGTCTTCAGATTGCTCGCTTGCACATTCCCCTAGGCTCGCGGCTTGATCGAGTGCCTTGCCTGGGTCTGGCAAGGGGGAATAGAAGAGAGCTGGTAGGAAGGTTTAGCATGACGTTCTAGAAGATAATTCAGTGGTGTTACCTGGAGCCAGAGATGGCCAAGAACTGTCAGGGTTTCGGGTGAACCGCTAAAGCAGGCTACTAAGGCACTGCCTAGAATCTGGAGGCCTGGGAGTGGGTGGAAAGAGCTGGGCCCACAGGAACACAACCAGAAAGCCTTCAGGGGACTGGCCAGGGAGAGGACACTGTGAATACCACCCCCTCATAGGGGCCAGGACTACCCTGTAGGCTAGAATTCCTCGTGCCATCCTCAACACTGAGGGGATCCAAGTTCTAGAAAACACAGTGAATTTCCCATACTCCTACCCTGGTCCAGCATACATGTCTTCCCCAGCCAGACTGCTTCTCCTTGACTCTTTGCGTGTCCAGCCTGCGTGAGTCTAGCTGGCCTGGTCCCCAGGCTCAGAAGCACTTTCTTTCAAGGGAGGAAGATAGGCCAGGGCTGGGAGCTGGCTGAATGGTAGCAATAGGAACACTTCCTGGAGCTCTTTTGTACTTCCGTCCTTCTCTGTAGCTGCCACGGCAATGTCAGGCTAGTGGTTTTCTCTTCTCTGGCCTGGGAGAGAAAGCTTATCTCTCTGTTCCCAGAAACCTCCTGAAAATGCACAGCCAGTGTCCCCAGTCATGTGAGAGATCACTAAAGTAATGGATTAGTCCCGGTGTCTGTGTGACTCAAACAGCCCCAAAGAATCCTGCCAAGAGCACTGAGAGTGAAGAGCAGGCGCAGGACTTTCTGAACTTGCTGCCTACCAGCGAATCTTGTGGTACACCCAAGGGAGGGTAGAAATGTACATGAACGATTCCGGGGCTTTTTTCAAAAATGCTTCTACCCATTTAGTTAAAAAGAAAGAAACGCTCCCTGTAGGACATTTGCCCTTTAAGATCCATTAGCCAATTTAAAAGATATGTTTGTTTAAAGCCACCTCAGGAATGCTGCTGGCTGGATTTCAAGGCCAGGCTTTGTGAGCCACTGTGGTAAGCTGGTTGGCAAGACAGGACAGTGTAGGGTGGTGGTGTTACTGTCTAGGTTCATTTTCTGAACCAATTTAAAAAAAAATGAAAAGGTAGGGGTGCAGCAGACAGAAGCAGCCAGTGAAAAAAGACACACACCCAACAAGGCACAGAAGGAGGGACCCTACAGACAGAAGCAGCCCGTGGAGAAAGACACATACCCAGAAAGGCACAGAAGGAGGGACCCTGCAGACAGAAGCAGCAGCCCGTGGAGAAAGACACATACCCAGCAAGGCACAGAAGGAGGGACCCTGCAGACAGAAGCAGCAGGGTGGGGCAAAGGGGCTGCTTGAGAAAGAAGACCCATGCTCTTGCCCCTTGCGTGTCCACATCCACCTCACGTCTCTAATTCAGCACTAGGGACAGAAGCTGGTAGACACCTCAGAGCGAGCCAGGCTTCTAGGTCCATTAGACTCTCCTCCAATCTTCTCTACTCTAGAGCCGTTTCTCCAGATTCCCTGCAAAGCCAAACCAAACCAAACACCAGGAAAACCACAAGACTTTTGTGTTCCATGAGATCAAATTAAATGGCATTTTCATCTTTTTGGTGGGATGTCTCCACCCACACCCCCTGAATCCCACTACCAAATGCCTCCTCTCCACCTGACCTCCTTTTCTTCTGAGTCTAGTCACCTACCTCTGAGTTACCACCTCCACTATGCCCTCTCTCCTTCCCTCCCTCCCTTAGTTCCTCTCTTTTTTATGGTCAAACTTCTGCAAAGGGTTATTTATTCAAGAGCTGTGTGACCATACTTCGTGACCTGTGGGCTCCATCCTCTCTCCCTCTTTTGTGTCTTAGTCATCTCTCCTGTGCTTGTTACTTTGCTTTCCACAGTTCCAGATCGAGACCAAAGCTTCTCCCACCCATCTTTGTTGAATAAGCACCTGGATTGGTCCCCGACTAGGATGCTGGCAACATCCTTAGTTTTGTGGTTGGATGATCAGTCTTTTGCCATATCTGCGTTTCTCAGGTTCTGTAGTTACAGTCACCCCAAACCCTTCTCCCCAACTCCTCTATACACAGTTTTCCTCTCTAAGTCTACTTCTTTTGAAGCCACAGACCCTTGGGGTCTCAGGTTAAAGTGTCAAAATCAGAGACAGGAACTAGTGACAGAATCTTCGTAGGCAGTGTAACCTTATGATATACTACCTAGCCTGTTCTTTCATGAGTTGGTCATGGGAAATCTGGTCTATTGCATGGAAGATAGCATGCAGGCTCTTCCTTTCCTCCTCCATCCTCATGGTAACTCCATAGTATGATACACCCAAGGTGTTACCAAAGTCATTTGGAGTGTGTAACCACCACACACAGCATTGTGTGGACTATGACCTCGAAGCTAGTGCCTTTTGGAAGCTTCCTCCATGGAACCCTGAAATTTGGTGCTGCTGAACATGACCAAGCTAGGTGAGCCCACAGCTGCTGCACCCCTCTGTCAGGTGCTATGTGAACTTCAGGCCTTAGCAGTTGGCTTATTGCCTTCTTTGCTTGTCCCATGTTTCTCTACAGCCACAGAGATTTGTAAGCATAATTAAAAGCCCACAGTCGTCATCCACAAACACAGTCTCTGTGTCTGAAATAGGGGTGAGGAAGAATTTAGAAAGATCTGGATAAAGAAGACGATGCAGGTTTATTACCTAAAACTCCTGTTTTCCAGAGCTGTATAGATCCGTTCTAGCAAGTAACTCTCTGTCTCCCTCATTAGCTTCAAATGCATGAGGCGAGGACCAACCATTCCTTCCCATGCCCTTCCTTCCTCCAAGGGATCACCAGAGACATCTTGTAGACCTGGTATAGATTCTGCAGAATGAGGGAGACTGTTCCAAGAGCCAAGTCTTGGTCCTTTAAAATGCAAAGTGTCCCTGTGTAGGCCACAGGAGCTGGCAAGCCTCCTCCAGTGATCTGAGCCAAGGGAGAAAGAAACTTAGTAGAACTTACCCCTCACTGGGGAGGGAGGCAGGATGCTGGAATGGTTCTCCGATGTCCTAAGAAGAATGTGGTAGAAAGAACCTCATTCAGAATTAGAAACAGATCCCAGCTTCCCCCAAACACACAAAGTTCCTGTGTGCGAGGGTCTCCACCAGACAAGCACCCCCTTTGTATCTTCATGTTGCTGTTTTTATATGGATCATAGTATACACCATGCTTCCAGAGCGACCCCAGACTGCCCATGGTGCTTCCAGAGCAACCCTAGACTGCCCATGGTTCATATGGATCATAGCATACACCATGCTTCCAGAGCGACCCCAGACTGCCCATGGGATTGCTTTAATAAGGGTCAGGCTTTTCAATCATTTTCAATAGCTACCACAGCAGAGTGAATTGTGTCAGAAAGTTACTTCCTATGCACAAATGTGTGAGCCAACTACTTTGAAGAAGACAACTCAAAAGAAAGTGGTATGGGCATTAGACTTCTCATCAAATTTAAATGTAAAGTAATTTCATTTTTATTAAAAACCCCTGTGCTCTTCTAGTAGGCTGAACAGCAAAGGCTCATGGGTAATGGTCTTCTAAGCAGTCAGGGGTAGAGTTATGAGGTGCTGGCTCTGCCACCATCCTGATTGTTCCCCATCCCCAGAAATTTCCAAGGTCAGCATTTCCCGAGGTCATCTCCCACAGGAGGAGGCTGAGTGTCACAGCGTGTGACCAGTAGCTGATAAGGAAATATTGGCATAGACTCTCATGAAAGCAAACAAGGCCAGCGTATCTACCATAGCAGTGTGTTTGTGAACGTGGTAATTGCTCGTTCATGCAGACACCTCAAATTCTTGGCTGAAAGTTGAACTCTGCCTGGTGGTTGTTATTTCCGAGGGAGGGGTGGACATGGCTATTCATCTTTCAAAGGATTTTATGAATAAAGAACTTCGCCATATGAGTTCTAGTGCGATGGCTGGTGTTTTTCCAACCCCGCCTCACGAGCAGCACTTTTCTGGGTGCACTTGACAAACTCACGGCTCTCTGGTACTCCTACCTGTATTCTTTCAGCTCAGGCCCCGGAGGTCCCTCTAGAACCTTCCATGCTAGTCTCATGTATAGTTGTAGTTACAGCTGTACAGTTGGGCTAACATTCCTGAAGTCATCATCTTTGAAATGGTGAATTTTATAAGAATTCATATAGTGAGAAATTTCGGGGTGCATGTGCCTGGGCTGGGACCTTATCAGGATTCTGGCTGTGCTCTGTAAGTCCAGGGTTAAAGCCTGCATCCCTAATGCTCAGGAGTGTCTTTGGTTGACGATCCATGGGTCACACTTTGAGAAGCAAGAACTTAGGACACACTTCTATGATACCATTTTCACTAGGTGAGCAGGCCTTTGTGTGTCTTTCTGCCTTTGAACTGGGAGGGGGGGGGGTACCTCACTTAGCTTTCTTTCTAGGATGATTTCTGTCATAATACTCTGGTTAACCAGCTTTTTGGTGGGTGAGTGGGGTGCATGCATAGCACGCAGGTAGAAGTCAGGGTACAGTGTAGCTGGGTTGAATCCCTCCTTCACAGTGCGTGTTCTGGGGACCCAGGTCAGAAAACAAGGCTTGGAGGTGAGCACCTTTGCCTACCGAGCCCTCTCATTGAATTCAGCCCCCACGTCCCACCTTAATTTTTCATTTTAGGAAGAAAACCGCAACAGGTTGAGAATCTATTTTCAGAATGTTTCCAGAGATGTAAGACAAGATTTGGCTATAAATTGATGGCAGCTACAGATTTCATTCCCACGAGTTGTCCCCACTCTAGAGAAGCTGAGGGTCCCAGAATGCAAATGTGCTCCTGAGAGGAGAGTGAGCAGCAGCAGGGTTTCCAAAAGGAAACTGTCTCACTCTGCAAAGCCCAGGAGGGTAGAATTTCACAGACCACACCAGTCGCAATGCCTACAGCCAAACAGGCTGACTGAATTAAGGCTTTCTGTGTCGGGTTTCACGTTGTCCTCTTCGGGGTATGAACAGAGGAAGGGGTGCACACTCTGTAGCATAGTGGGGGTTCTTTGAAAGCTGATCCATCAGATTGCCAGGTTTAAGTAAGCTTAAATGATTTACTTAAAGAGAGACCCAGAATAATTGCGCCACACTGTCCTCCAAGTGAGAATTCCATACCATCCCTGTTGTCTGGCAGAAGCAAGATGGCTGGGGTGTGGGGCCGTGGCTTTCAGTGGTCTACACTGGCACGTGACATTGAACTGAGACCCACCAACCAAGGAAGTTTTGTTTTTAATCTCATTTACAATTTTGCTTTTGTTCTGAGAGAGGGTCTTACCCCGGAACCCAGACTGGTCTAAAACTTACAGCAATCCTCCTGCCTGAGCCTCCCAAGTGCCAGGATCATAGACATGAGCCATCACACCCAAATCTAGTTTGGTTTTTGAGGTAGCATGTCATGTAACCCAGGTTGGCTTCTAACTTTCTATGTAACCGAGGAAGGCTCTGAGCTGATCCTCTGCTTCCCAAGTGCTGGGCTCACAGGTCTGCCCCACTACCCCTCGATCACTGCAGTGTAACTGCATGCAGAAATGGATGTCCTATGTGCATGGTTAGTAGGAGCGAGCACAGCCATGCTTCTGGGATCTAGTTCTGAAAGGTAACTACAGTGACTTACGCTTGATGCTCAGTGGCAGATCCTTCACTGAGACCGCAGAACTGTAGTTATTAAATTTGCAAACACAGTGTGTAATGAAGGCTCTTGGCACAAGTATATTATGTTTAAACAGTTAACAAAGAATTGGCACTTACTTCTGCTCAGGGTTATTGTTAATTATGCTGTAGGACAATCATTTCAGTCCTGAATTTGTTTCATGCAATTCATCTTAGAGAGATATTAAATTCTCTTAGAAAACAAGAAAGAGAGGCCTTTTGCCTAGATAAATAACCAAGCCAGTTAAGACTGACAATATTAATGGGTGAGATTATCAAGGGGAAGTGGAGGGAGCCTGGGGAAGCAGCTCACAGGAGGATAAGAAGGCCGTTCTCGTTTCCAAGAAGAGGACGGAAAACAGAAGCATGAAAGTTGCTGGGTGGATTTGGGGTGATCCCAGGCAAGACCCAATGGATACGTGCCAGTCATGGGGTTTGGGGTGATCCCAGGCAAGAGTCAATGGGCTCGAGCCAGTCATGGGCTCTGGGTTCTGAAGACAATGGAAGTGTAGATTCCGATGAGTCCTGTAACACGTCAGACTGTGAGAGAAGCAGTCCTATGGTGCTGAGTCTGATCATAGGAAAAGGCTGTAGGCCGTGAGCCGGAGGGGCCTGGGAGATGCTCAGCCGGGAAAGCGCTTGCTATGCAAGCCTGGAGACCTGGATCTGATTCCAGTTTCCATGTAGAGAACTGAGATCTGCACCTGGCGACATGTGCTTTTCAGCTTAACTAAAGCATCAATCCCCAGATGAGCCCCCATGACCCAATGTCAAAAGCTGTTTTTTAAAAAAAGTGAATGGCACGTGAGGACAATTCTAAGGTGGACCTCTCTAGCTCCACATGCATGTGCACCGCAGTGTATAATACATGTGACACACACACACACACACACACACCAGCAAGCAAAGTCTAGAAGAATCTACCAATGGTAGTTTTCAGCTACGTGGAAGTGAGAATTTTAGATAGCAAAATATACAACTATATAAAATACACAAAGTGCAATTTATAGGTAAAACCTACATTTATTTTTATTATGTTTCAATTTTTATTCAGTATTTACTCTAAGAAACAAATCTGTTATAAAAATAGCTATTTTTGTTTGTTTTTCTTTTAGTTCATACATCTATCTCTTTCTTACAGATTTACCTTATGAGCCTCCTAGGAGAACAGCCTGGACTGGCCATGGCCACCCCACCCCTCAATCCAAAGGTACAGGCTCACCCCACTGCCTCAAGCTGCATGTCACAAGGCAGAGGTGACTGCAGCCAGGGTAAATTATAACCTCTGTGGTCTTTCCAACATACGGAGGGTCCTTCCATTGGCAACAAAGCACACACAGTCTCTAAGTGTGATGACTCTTTTGTTTGACATATAACCTGCTTTCATGTCGAAAAGAAGGGAGCGGAACTGTGGTTCTCCCTGTGCACGAGTGTGGGTTTCAAGGGATGCTGGACCACTGACGTGCTAACGGCTGCTTCCCTTTGCCGCGGCTCTGCTTGGCTCCACTTCATCCCTTGCACGTTCCCCGAATCTATTTATATTTACACTGTAGTTAATTTCATTCTCTTTTGTAAGCCAGCTCAAGTTTCTTTTCACGATGTTTAGAAGTAATGGCTACAGTAGATTGTTTAAATCGTGGGAAACATTTTAAAATGTTTGTATTTAATTTCATGAGAGGGGGCAGTTCTTCTGACTACAAATGCTTCTAGTTGTAGAGTGAGGTTACTATGCTGGCACCTAATCGGTCAGAATGGGAAAGCCATCAAAGATGCGCAGCCCCGTCTGAGTTGTTGCTAATTGTCTTTTTGTATTCTTGGCTTCTTTCAGCTGCTCAGCCATCTCCTTCCACAGTGCCCAAAACTGAAGACCAGCGTCCTCAGTTAGGTGTGTTCCAGAAACCATCTTGGGAACCCTAAGAAAAGGTTACAGGTTCAGCTGGGAGTCCTAAAATGTGTCCCCTTTAAAATGAACTTCATAACTTCATGTACCTAAAACATGGTCTAGACTATTAGTTCCACAGTTGGAAGGACGTTGCTAAAATCCTGAGATTCTACTAAGGCATCTCTGAAGCCTGCGAATGGGAGCGAACCGTTCTTGTTGCTGGAGTCTGTGCCCTGGGATCTATGGGTTCTGTTGCTTTGACTTTCCCTGGCATGTGTCACAGCGCCTGTGCCTGTCAGTCCCAAAGCAGAAGTGAAGTGAAATGCCGACCTCGAACAACCTGGTCCTTGTGGCCCAGGCCCAGCCTTGCCTGACTTCGACCCTGGCATTGTGTGGGCTATAAGTTGGTGGTGGGAATCTGGGATATCTACAACTATGATGCTTCCAGTAAGAAACTCCCCCGATCTCCAGTGTGACCGCTTATGTCACGTAGGAGGTAGAGGCAGGAATTTGGGGGTAGGGAGCATTCTCACTTCTGCAAACACAGTCATCAGCCTGACATGGCATTTTACCAGGCCCCCGCTATGTCCCCAGGATCTGACTTGTTTTCTTCTGTCACAGATCCTTACCAGATTCTGGGACCCACCAGTAGCCGCCTCGCGAATCCTGGTGAGTTGTCACTTGCGATCTTCTCCTTTAGAACTGGGACGATGCCTGAAGGAGAACTTGTGCTGGCGACAAACTTCTCCAACAGAGAGAGCTGGTCTTCAAGTCACATCTCCACTGAGCTATTTTATTTGTCTGTGTGAAAAAAAATGGATCAGGTTATGAATTAAGAATTTTTAGCTTCACCAAGGAAGTTTATAACCTAGTTGAACTTATAATATTTCTCTATACTTACAATGTTTGCAACAAAGTAACACAGCTTGTGGATAGCTTAATAACACCAGTGCGTTGGCGTAGCTCTGGAGGTTGGGAAACTGAGGCCGGTGGCTGGAACTTTCCACCCAGGGCCTTTCACTCTGGCTTCTGGATGACATCATCTCCCTGCGTTTCTTTATATTGTCTTTCCTCTTGATGCTTCTATGTCCATACCGCACCGTGTGTGTGTGTGTGTGTGTGTGTGTGTTTGTCCCTGTGTGACTGTGATCATACATGTATATGGAAACTAGGGTATAACCTTGGGTGTTAGAGTATCAATCCATAGTTAATATCACACCGTCTATCTTTTGTTTTTTAAGTCAGGCTCTCTTACCAGCCTGCAGTTCTGCAGGTAGGCTAACTCAGCTGTTCAGTGAGCCTCAGGGATCTATCTGTCTCGGTCTCATCACGTGCCACAGTGTTTGTCTTTTTAAATCCGCATGCTGGAGATCAGACTCAGAAATCACTTCAGTCTGCAGCTTTTCCTTTGTCAAAGGACACCAGTCATTCTGGAGTGAGGGCCTCACCATTCTGGAGTATGGGTCTCTTCAGTGGCCATAGTCTGTTTGATAGCGTCTGTGAAATCTTTGTCTCCAAAACAGGTCACTTTCAGAGCTCCTTAAATTCATATTTCAATGTATGGATGTAAGGGGACATAATTCAGCCTGTCACCAACCAGACCCAATAACCGGCATTTTAAATGATAGTCTCACAACCGTCAGATTCCACCTGCGGTCATCGTGAGGCTGTGTCTGAGCTTTGATGCAGGAAGAACAGACTCCCCGTGATCCCTGGCGGAGAACCATCACCTGTCCTCACATTTCGGTGCCAGCGAGCTTGTTCTGTTTGTTTGTGTTCAGACCAGACCCAGCTGTGCTGGCAGGAACTCCAGGGTTCTGTGGCATCTGCTTCGTATTCTCGGCGGTAAATCAGATGCCAGGGTTGTCACAGCCACATCAAGTGCAGGCAGGAATCTCTGTTTCACAAGCCGTAAGCCAAACAGGGTTGGAAAACACAGCAATTCGGATGCCGTCATTGCACACAGCCCCACAAGAGAATCTAAACTCTGAGAACGTGAAATGCCATCAACACTGAACAACGGGGTCTGCCATGAAATTCTAATTAATGTTGATGAGTTCAGTAAACATGTCCTAAGCAGCTCTGCAGATAGAGGAGGTTATTTTCATCATCATTTTATCCAGTACATAAACTGGGTGACCAGCACCTTGTTTACTTATCAGTTCATCCCTGAGATGGAAAGATGCAGTTGGCCTCCGGGCGCTGTCAGTAAGTAGAGAGGTGGGCACAGGCATATACAGCACTCTCCAGCCCCTGAAATCCCAGCCCATTGTCTATTCTGTGACCAGTCACTTAAAGGCCAGGACTTGCAAGCTCTCCCTCCTTGACCTCCTTCCAGCCCTCCGCTTAGAACTGTCTCGTAACTATTCTAATGACCACAGTGAGGCGGAAGGAATACCATTCAGTGGACACAGTGCTTACTGCACAGGTGTAAGGATTGATTTTGGATACCAGCACTGTGGTGCCTGCACCACCTGGAACAGCGATCAGGCAAGGGTCTGCAGATTAAAAAGCACACAGAGCCGTGGGTCACTCTTGAAACAAGAACGCCAGTTTTATTGTGGTCCAGGGCAGCTTATATAGGGCTTTTCTTGACTAATGGCCACACCCATGTTCTCCAGATTTTTCAGCTGCAAGCCACCAGAAACCACTCCCCTGCCATCAGGAACTCATGAGGGTCTCGTGCCCAGAGCAGCTGTGAGCACAGGAAAACAAGCTGTTTGCTCCAGCAGGCAAGGGGTCATAGAGAATTCAGGGTCTGAGGGTCCACAGTCCCCAACACAGCACCACATAAATTCAGATACGTATGAATCTTGTACGTTTCTAGTCCTCCTGTTGCAAGAGGGGAAGCTGAGATGGGAGAATCCCCAGGGGCTCCCGGGACAGCTTGGCATACATGGCTGTGAAGAAGAGATGCCGCAAACAAGGTGGAAGGCAGGACAGACAGACTCCCAAGGTTTCTCTCACTTCCACACATGCGTCTGGATGTGTGCTCCGGCACTCACTCCCATGAATGCACGTGTACTCACACATGAAGACTTTGCACGGCTGTGTTTGGAGGTGGGGTGAAGTAAGCTTCAGAAAAGCTGGTCTGGCGGCACAGTTCAGGATAGGTCAGACAGTAGACACGCCTGGAGGGCCCAGACTCCACGAACACCAACATGCTGTGAGGTGGGCACTCCATGTAGTGCCCGCTTCAAAGAGACTGACCACACCTGTGGTTCCCCTCCAGCCTTTGTAATCTCCATCCTGTAAGAGCAGTCAGAAGCCTTGGAATGCCAAAGAACTTTCCCTGGGTCACAACCAAACAGGAAGGAGGCTCAGTCTGGAACCTGAGGGTCTCCAAAGTCTGACTTTGTTTTCTTCCCCTAATTCTTCTACCAATACACAGACATAGAAAATGTCTTAGAACACTTACCTATATCTGGGCAGCTTCAAGAACAGTCCTCAATATTGCTCCCCCACCCAAATTTAATCTTAAAAATTAAACAATTCCTATGTAAGTCTTCTCATTAAAACCTCAAAACTAATATGCCGTCAGGAAAAGAGATCCAATAATTCAGAAATAAAACACCAGCTAGCACATTTATAGGAGGTAACAAACCCCATTGTATGCTTATCTTAAACACATATGATCTCAGCACTCTAAAAGGATGCTGACTAACGGACTAAATTAAGAAACAAGAACCAACCCTATGTTTTCTTCAAGAAACACGCTTACCTGGTAAAGATGCCCCAGGACTTAATATCAAAAGATGGGAAGCAAACTGCCAAGCACACAGGAAATGTAAAAGAGCAGGCAGATGTAGCTGTCCTTGCACCAGACAAAGTAAGCTTCAAACTAAACTAATCAGACGAGAAAAAGAATGAATTGATGAGTAATTCATCAACTGTAAACTTTCGTATACAAAGTATTGGAGTCTCTAATTTCATAAAGCGAGCACTAAAAACCATAGATGACCACACAGGTCCTGACACAATAGCAGGGGGAACTTCAATACTGTATTCTTAACTTTAGATAGTTCTCCCAAAGTAAAGTAACTTCAGAACTAAAATGTACTATGGATGAATTGGACTTGTGTGTGTGTGTGTGTGTGTGTGTGCGCGCGCGCGCGCGCGTGCGAGCACATGCGTGCGCACATGCACGCACATGTGTGTACACAAAATATTCCATTCAAAAGAAAGGGAACACACATATTTTTCTGAGTAGCATGTGTAACCTTCTTAAAATCTTTTTGTCCATTTTCAGTGGAAAGATGTTGCCATGCACTATGATTTTTTAAAGTGTAAATGTATGTGGCATATAAGTTTATGGGCACCATGTTCATAAAATCACCCACAGAGGCCAGAAGAGGGTGTTGGTTCTCTCCAGGAACTGGAGTTACAGGTGGCTGTGAGCCACCCCAATTCCTTCAGCTGCTGAGTCATCTCTCAACGCCTTCTCATACATATGAAAGCACAGATAACATCAGTGTGTGCACATCCCCATATATCCATTCCAAATATGCGTTGATGTGTGCGTGGAATACGATTTCTCCTGCTGAGAAAGGTGTGCCCTCGCATTCCCCCCTCATGAATCAGTGATGAGTCACCAGCCACGTTAGATTCCATCAGAACTGCAAGCACCGAGTTCCTGTGATGGAGTCCAAGCTCCTTTCTGTGGAAGAACTCTTCTTGGATTCTGTCCAGGCGTTCTGAATTGGTGGGGATGAAGATGCATTCAGCTCCTTGAAGGGAGGGCCACTTCAGAAAAGTTTTGTCACTTGTTAGGAAGTGGGAACCTGTGGCTTTCAGGTGAGGCTCAAGGGAGGGCAGCCTAGGAAGGACCAGGGAAGTGTGGACACCTGACTTCAGGTGAGGCTCAGGGGAGGGCAGCCTAGGAAGGACCAGGGAAGTGTGGACACCTGACTTCAGGTGAGGCTCAGGGGAGGGCAGCCTAGGAAGGACCAGGGAAGTGTGGACACCTGACTTCAGGTGAGGCTCAGGGGAGGGCAGCCTAGGAAGGACCAGGGAAGTGTAGGCACCTGGCTAGAGAGTCTTGCTCCATGGAGGACAAAGAACAGCAGCCTGAAGTTTAGCCTCTGATGGCGCTGAGCGTAAAGGTCGGGCCACCTGTGTGCACCCCTGTTTTCTCATGACTGTGCAGGGATTCAACACACTGTCCCATGTGAGCATTTATATAGTTAACTTCAGAATGAAGTCGAGCCCCGAGAACAAACCCAGGCCAAGCTCCAGCCAGTGTGGTGGTCCTGAGTGGTCAGCTGCATTTGGCTGCTTCCTGCCGGACAGTGAGAAGGATGCTGGAGTTACAGACAGGGGCTGCCCCTGGTTGGTACTTAGGTGGGTTCTGGGCATCTGAGCTCCACTCCTCTCATTTACGTGGCAACCTCTTGAGCACTGAGATGTCTCCCCAACCACAGCCTTGTCTTTCCGAATTACTGGTTTGGCCAGTGAGTGGTTTGGCCAATTCACATTTAGACTTCGAACCCTCGTTACACTTCCTGTCAGAGTCCTTCTCTGCATCCTGCAATGCACCTCGTCATATTATGACCATTACAGTTCAGGCAGTAATCACTATTTAATAATTTCACCTGTGATGGATTTCTCGGTGCCCTACACCCATTGTCTCCTTGAGAGTTCTTGCTCAGTGGGAACACGTGTGGCCTAAACAACTTAGGGGTTCAGGAACTGCTGCTATTTATAGGGGCACCTAAGTGGTTGTTGACTTTTACAGCGAGTTTCCTTTTCCAGTTTGGAGGCCAGGGGATTTTGCTCTTTGAGCTCTTCTGGGAAAGCTTGGTTGGCTTATCCTCAGTCCTGAGCCCTGTGTCTTTTTAGCTAAGGAGTAAAGTGAAGAGCCTAGGGCAACGTGAGCACATCAGTCCTCTGAGCTTCAAGCTTCCAGTCATGCATATCAGCTTGCATGAGCTTCCAGCCATGCATTTAGGGCTTGCATGTTTTCTGTCTCTTCAGAAACAAGGGAGACAGACTCTTTCCCCCCGTCCTTCCCTCTTACACAGGCTCATAAGGAAAGTGGGTGAGGGATAAATTCCCAAAGACGATGCCAACGTTTGAACAGATACCAAGTGTTAATTTGGTCTGTGTATTTGTACGAAATCTGTAGAGTGGCTCCCTCCCCATGGGAGGAAGTTGACACTAAATATTTATTTTCCGGCAACTGTCCATGTTGAGAGTGAAGCATATGTTAGACTGTTAAACCCCAAGCCCACAGCTTCTCCTATTCCCAGGTCATCTGTGGGATTCTTTTTTTCAAGTTTTAATCCTTTAGTTACAATATATATACCAAAACCATATGGTTCTCTTGTTCTATCTTTTATATTTTTCCATGCATATTAATGAGATGTTGGAGGCAGCGGCCCTTGATTGAGAACAGTTTGTGCTGCTCTGGAGCAGCGCAGGCTATCCTGACAGGCTACAAGCTGTTAATACATCTCAAATGTGTCGCTTGACTGAAAACAACCATTCCCAGAGTACAGTCCAAAGAGGCTGACCTTTCTCACGATGCTGCTGCTTCGGTGGGTGGATCCACAAGCCTCCATTTCCACAGAGCCTGCGTGGAGACAAGGGCTGGACAGTGTACAGCGGGGCTAGTGGGAAGACTGCAGAGAAAGCGAATTCATAATTGAATTTTACATCCCATCAGTTCCCTGAATGGATGATCGTCCAAGCTGCTCTAATCATCGATCACATCTATTCGTATTACTTACCATATCATAAAAGATAATATTTCTGATAATGAGCCCAAGGCAGTGTGCTGCCCTGAAGGCAGGGAAATATCTGCCTCCCACTCACTTTTAAGACTAAAATCTTTGTTAGTTAATTCCGTTTCTCCTCATACCCAACAAAACTTCCAGTAAGCAGCGATGGGGAGAACCGGAGTGTCCTATAGTTCTGTCTGTCTGTCTGGCCTGGGATGTCTGGGCATGCCTAGGCCCTTATCCAGCAAGGGTAAGTGGGAGAAAAGCAGGAGGCAGGAGCACAGGCCCCGTTCAGGACATCCCAGGTCCCTTTACACATCCAGAGATCCCCTGGAGGAGAGTAACATGGTGGCGAGAGCAATAGGCTTAGATTTTTCTCTGACTGAAAAGACACAGAGGCTCAGAGAGAGGATTCAGCCAGCCAAGTGCTTGCCCTACAAACCTGAGGAACTGGGTTTGAGCTCCAGAACCTGTGGGAAAGAAAGAAAGGCAACCAAAACACCGGAAACCTTGGTGTGGTTGTGGACACCGATAATCCCAGTGGTACGGGGTTTGCAGGTAGCTGGATCTTTGGGACTCCCTAGCCAGGCGGCCTAGACTACAGGGTAAACTCCTAGCTAACAAGAGAGCCTGTCTTAAAAAAAAATGGGACAACACTACCAAAGGTCTTTTTCTTGCTTCTACATGCACATATATAAGCACACATACACACACACATGAACAAGCACACACATATACAGTCACATATATCCACATTCACAGACACCCACTCATACACACGCATGTGCACGTGCACACACACACAGTCTGTTGTCTTTTGGAAGCACCCTGACACAACAGTGTGACTCACATGGCCCATGGATTTCTGCCCTGGTGCACTTGGCCCAGGCCTGGCTTGGAACAGAACCAGTTCTTTTTCTACACTTCCTCATTCTGAGTGGGCTAATTCTGTGCTAGGGACCGTTCTGACAGAACCGGCCAGATGTTGTGTTAGAAATACCACTGTTTGCTTCAATTCTCTGTTTGGTTTTCCATGAATTTGTCGACGTTCATTTCCTAAGCCTGACTTTTGTTATTTCGTTTGACCCAGCCACTGTAAATGGTGTTAGGCCGTTATTGCCATCTGTAGCCTTTTCTGCCTCACAAAATGGGAAAAAGTAGCTCATTCACTCCCCCTGAAATGAGCGTGACCGGGCTGCTCTTTGAAAGATGTCCCAAGTGGAAGGAGCCTGAACTTTGCCCTCTGTGCGTTCTCCATTTTGTATGGAAAACATGGATCTAAGAGGTCAATCTGAGACTGATCAGGGAGGGCCATAAAAGGGCAAGTTTCTTAGAAGTGGAGACAGAGATGAGGGCACTCCAGGCATCGTTCCTCAGGGGTTCACTCTCAGGAGGAATGCTGAAGAAGCTTCCAGGCTCCTTCAAGCTGAGCCCTCGTGTGCCAGCATGGTCCCTAAGGAGCACGCAGGATTGGGATGTCCCGTAGTTCTCCTTCATCAGTGTGACCTGGAATATCTGGGTGTGGACCATCTCCTGTCTAGCCAAGGTTTGCTCTTGGGGGAGATGAGCAGCCAAGAGATAAACACAGTACCAGCCCAGGAGCAGAGATCTGGGGCGGGGGGCTGGGGATTGGTCTAGGAAGTCTGCCATTGAGGAGTGATCTCCTGTGCTTGGTTCTCACCGGCTTTGTGTCCTCCCCATCATTAGGTAGTGGCCAGATCCAGCTGTGGCAGTTCCTGCTAGAGCTCCTGTCTGACAGCTCAAATTCCAACTGCATCACCTGGGAAGGTACCAACGGGGAGTTCAAGATGACAGACCCTGACGAGGTGGCGCGGCGCTGGGGGGAGCGGAAGAGCAAGCCCAACATGAACTATGATAAACTCAGCCGCGCCCTCCGCTACTACTACGACAAGAACATCATGACCAAGGTCCACGGGAAGCGTTACGCCTACAAGTTTGACTTCCACGGCATCGCGCAGGCCCTCCAGCCCCACCCTCCGGAGTCTTCTCTGTACAAGTACCCTTCCGACCTCCCGTACATGGGCTCCTATCATGCCCACCCCCAGAAGATGAACTTTGTGGCTCCCCACCCTCCCGCCCTCCCAGTCACTTCGTCTAGTTTCTTTGCTGCCCCAAACCCGTATTGGAATTCACCGACTGGGGGCATCTACCCGAACACTAGGCTCCCCGCCAGCCATATGCCGTCTCACCTGGGTACGTACTACTAGAGACCAGATGGAGGCCTTTCCCAACAGCGTACAATCACCTAGCAGTCACCACAAACCCAGAGAACACAAATCGGAAGTGCCTCATGAGGAATGAGAAAGGTTGGCCAGAGCTGGGGAAGGAAGCTGGAAACCAAAGACTCACAGGGGAGGGTGGGCATCACCCAAGTATTAATGCAGAAATAGAGGAAGCTCAAACTATCATGGACATGGACATATAACCTGTGGTCCACCCTTGTCAAAGACATTGTATTGTAGAAAAGCATGGCACGGTAAGGACAACTGCCAAAGAAAGTGGCCTTCAGTAGTGGACAAACTAGAGTGTGAGACCTTGCTTGTACCAAACAGGATTCAGTGAAAGCAATAGAGATAACAGTACACAGTCTTGGCCTAACATACCATTTAGAATGTCATTTGAAGGGGACTACCTGTGTTTAAAAACAGAAACATATCAAAACCAAATAAGAAGACAGGAAAGATGGCGGCCCCTCCACAAACCACATTGTGGATTTTTTTTTTTTTGGCTGGCATTTGCTGTTTTGAAATCATATTCTTTCCATTTGATAGGGGGAGTGGCTACCAGCTTTGTTAAACTGTGAAGATGACCCAAAATCTCAGCTCCTTTCAGTATCACGGGAACTGTGAGCCTCATGGTGGTTGGGGGATGTGTAGGGTGTGTGAGTATGTGATTTTAGAGGAAAGGCTGAATGAGGAGGAACGCGTAGAGGAGGAGGGGATTGGGGAGCAAGTGGAGGAGGAAGAAGAGGAGACAAGGACTAGAAGGCAGTCGCTCAAGCCGTCAAAGCTGAATTTAGGATGTCTTGGGACCAAAGAGCGTGAGTTGTGACGCTTGATGCTGTCATGTTGTGAGAAAGGACACAGTTTGATGGAAGACTGGGAGCGGTAGTATTCAGAACCAAACATTTCTTTGTAACTGGAATTGTCTAATATTCAAAAAAGATTGGGACCTCTGCATGCTGGAGGCTTTGTCCTTCATGGGAGCAGCTGAGAGGTGACCTTTGTGGCCACCACAGTCAGAGACCAAGCAGGCATTGTGGGTAGCTGGGCTCCAGTTTTCTTTAACGAGTCGCGAACGCTGTGCGTTTGTCAGAACGAAGTCTACAAACCAATGGGATTTTTTTCTTTTTATATAATAATTATATAACTTATGCATTTATACACTACGAGTTGACCTCGGCCAGCCAAAGACACACCACACACACAAAAGGAGACAATCGATGATATGATGTGGCCTTGAATTCTAACTCTGTAACGCTTAATGTTTACAATATGAAGTTACTAGTTCTTAGATGCAGAATGTATGTAATAAAATGAGCTTGGCCTCTCACGGCGAACCAGAATGGTGGTGGTCTCATTTCGCACTTCCTTACCCATGAACGGTGGCCAGCAGAAACTTGAGCTGAATCTTACGAGTTTGTACTATAGACTCATTGCGTCCAGGAACTTAAGCAGATGGGAGTAATGTGGACAGGGTGTTGCACACACAATCAGCGTGGACCTCTTGACTCCCAAGAGCCCGCTCTTTCTCATTCTCATCGGATTCGACAACAGAGAGAGCAAAGGTTTCCCCTTGGGGCCTCCATGACTGTCCCTTCAGCCTCTGCAGCTGAGGTTGTCACTGAGTAATTCCAGTTCTGCACTGGCCATGGTCACCCAGATTACCGTCGCGATCATACAATTTTTGTTGAGTGATGAACAAGCCATTGCTAAGCCAAATTGTTGTCCTCGTGATTGGTAAATGAGTCATGGACAGCTGCAGTTTCTTGTTGCAAAGGGTCGAGGGAGGGCCCAGCAGATGGCTCAGTGGCTAAAGCGTGAGGACCCGAGAGTGAACAAGGAAGCTGTGTAAACAGTCAGGTGTGCAGGCCCACCCTGATAATCCCAGCTACAGCAGGGTGGCAGCCAGAGACATGCAGATCCAGAATGCACTGACTGGCGAGCCTAGCCTAATTTGTGAGCTTCCAGGCCAACAAGAGACCTGGTTTCAAAAAAGCTGTTGAAGGTACTTGGGGACTAAAGCCGGAGTTTACTTATACTCTGACGTCTTTGTACATACATATATGTACATGTGTGTATGCATGTGCATGCATCCCCCCCCCACACACACATACTCACATAAGCCCCAAGACCCAGCTTCCGAGCTTGCCACTTGGCTTCTCATTCCGAAGACTCCGCATCTCAACTTGGGTTCTGACTTAAACACTTCAGAACCCCTGGAAAACTTCCGTTCTGGAATCCTCATCTTGGGGTGACCATCCCCACTCTCCTTAGCACACACTGTGTTTTCTATGATGGATCATCCGTTTCCCAGGGCTTGCCTTCTTCGTGTTACAAATGCTGTCCTCCTGGACTGAGGTGTAGCGGTATAGAGTATGTGACCCTGTGACTCAAGCCACCTGCTCGGAACGGCTGGCCAGGCCCCTTCTAAGCCTGAGTCAGTTTTTTGGCTTCATCATATAAGCCATTTCATGTCTTAGGAGTTTCAGGATTCAGTTCACACTTTGTAATCCCCTTCGCTGTGTTTCCGCGCTTGCCAAAGCCCTGCACTGTGGATATTTTGGCAACGGTCTGTGAACTCAGTAGGATACGATTACCAAAGCTTCAGACGCCCCTCATTACTGGGATTGAGAGGCGTCCAGACGTCAGTCATCTAGAGCAGCTTGGGAGACGCCACACATGGCCCGCATCTCCTTGGGACTAACGACAGCCATGCATCAGCACTGGTGGCTGGGGGTGACTGCATGGTTCTGGGGGGAAGATGAATGATTTGATCTCGCAGTGCAGAGCTGGGGCACACCTACATTCTTAGTATAATGTCCAAGTTCGTTTGGATAATCACTCAGTTCCCGCTTTCAAGACTGCACCGTGAGTGAAATCGTGAAAGCCAACCATGGCTGTCAGATTCCATCCTAACCGATGTTTTTAGTTAATCCCTCCGGTCCCCCCATCCTCCACCCACCTGGGTTCTTAGCCAGCCCAAGGACTAGGCTGAGCAGCTGGGCTGTTTTGAGACAACCTGGTAGAGCTGGTTTTCTTGCTTAAGTAAAACTTCGGGCATCTTGAACTAATGGTCAAGGTTGAAGTCTGGGTCTGTGCTAATTGGAGTCCAAGGTCTTTTCCTGAGCCCTGAGCGTTGACACACCCCTCCTCCCCTCATTGTCTCTGCCTCTTGCTCTATGTGTCCCTTGCATGAACCTCTTCTGCTGGCAAGATGTGTCAGTGATCTTTGGGACTTTGTACTGGATACAATCCCCAGATCTCAGTCAGGACTTGACCCTGCTGACTCTATCATACCACGCCACGCCAGCCACACCACACCACACCACACCACGCCTCACCACCATCTCTGGTCAGATGTTGCAAATTAGAAGGTTCCAGATGGCATGCTTTGCCATCTTATTTCCCTCTCAACGGCTGACGGCTCTCTCACCAGCCCTTGGGAGCTAGATCCCAAGCAGCTGCCCTCAGAGACAGGTGCTTTATCTGCGGAGACTGCAGTCTGCCAGCTGGGGAGGTGATGGATAGCAGCAAAACACTTGTGTCCTGTAGGTCAAACTAACCCCAAAGCTGTGCCAAGAGCAAGGTAAGTTTCATAAATACCAGCTTAGATAAATACTATAGAATGTAGCAGCTGACTGGCAGATGTGAGTAACAGAGATCGGGGGTTTTAGTCCCGTTCTCTGGTTCTTCTGGTTGCCATGTAAGGAAATCATTGCAAGCTGTCACTGTAATAGACAGAGCCGCTCTCCTGGCCACTCCATCATCCCACAATGGACTGAATCTGTGAGACCCAATAAATCCTCCCTGGCGCTGCTTGTGTCAACTGGAGGTGCAGCCTGGTGATGGAACACGAGCTTAGCATGCACGAGGCTCTAGGCTACATTAGAAGTGTGCTACAATGTCACCCAAGTCACAGACAACTAGAAGTGGGACCAAAAAGCAGCGTGTGGACCAGGGTCAGGACTATGACAGCAGTGATGCTGACAGGAATTAGAGCCAGCACCGAAGATCTACAACCCATGGGTCCTAGTTAGTTAGCTTTAAAAATAGGTTTATTTTATGTATGTGAGTGTCTGCATGCATGTGTGTGCATCGTGTGTGTGCAGTGCCCGTGGAGGCTATGTATGTGTGTGCATCACATGTGTGCAGTGCCCGTGGAGGCTATGCATGTGTGTGCATTGTGTGTGTGTAGTGCCCATGGAGGCTAGAAGAGGGTTTTCTATTCCCTGGACCATCAGGCAGTCCCTAGCTATCATCTGAGTGCTAGGAGCTGAGCCCCAGCCCTCTGCAAGAGCAGCGAGTGCTCTGAACCTCTAAGCCATCTCTCCAACTCCTCTTCGAGTTAGTTTTGACTTCCAACTTGACACAGCTAAAGTCACTGGAGGGATTGCCTGTGGGCACATCTGTGAGAGGTTGTCTTGATTGTTAATTGACGTAGGAGGGCTCAGACCACTGTGGGTGTCTCCATTCCTTGGGCGGGTCGTCCTGGGCTGTGTAAGGAAGGTAGCCAGCATGAGCTGCAAGCAAGCCAGCAGGCAGCCTTTTTCTGGGTTTCTGTTGTGCTGGTTTTGAATGAGTCCTCTGGTTGGAGCTAATGATGCGTTTAGTGATGAGTGATCCCAACTTCAGGTTCCTGCCTTGAGTTCCTGGTCTGACTTTGCTCATTAACGTGCTGTGGAAGGGTAAGTCAAGTAAGACCTTTACTCCACAAGCTGCATTTTACCAGAGCAAAGGAAGGGACACTAGACATTGTATTGTCTTCTTGTTTCTTCCAACTGTTCCTATGAGACTTGCTTTTACATTTATTGTGTTTAATTTTTTTAGAATTTCATGAGTACTGTGTTTGCTTCATTTCCATTATATCCACTGTCTCAACCCCCCTCAAGTCTTTCTCCATTTGCTCCTCCTGATCTTGCATTCTTTAGTCTCTCTCTCTCTCTCTCTCTCTCTCTCTCCACACACACACGCGCACACGCGCACACGCACACATACACACACGCTCTGCTGAGTCCATTTAGTGTTGTGCACATGTACACACGTTTAAGGCTGGCAGCTCGGAATGAGATAACCCATTGGGGCTGGTTGCTGGAGAAGACCAATCCCCCTCTCTCAGCAGCCGTAAATTGCCTGTAGCTGTCCATCTACGGAGGGGGCGGGTCTTGTAAGATTTCCCCCATCCATACTGGCATGTCAGCTGCTGTGGTCACCGTGTAGGTTTTGTTTAGGCAGCCATGTTGTTGAGGACTTCATGGGTGAGCATCCTGTAGTATTCAGGAGACACTGTCCCGCAGCAGACACCCTGGTCATCTGGCTCTCACGGTCTTCCTCTCTTCCTCCGCACTGCCTGCACCTTAGGTGAATGGGTTGTGCTATAGATGCTGTATCAAGGGTGTGTGCATGGCTCCAAGAGCTTTTCTCTGCAGTTTCGACTGTAGTAGATTTCTGTGATGCTATTCTACGAGGCAACTATTTAAAACTGCTTAAGCCATTTACCTGGATCTCCCAAGGTCAGAGGCAAAGCTGATGCACATTGCTACCCAACTCTCTCACTGACTGGCTTCATACTGACCTAAAAGTCAACGCCAAGGTCATCCTGCAAATACGATCACCAGTTGAAGTAATAAGGGCAGCGGCGGGGCTGCGTCCCCAACACCCCAGCCGCCTGCCCGGCTAGCTTATGCCCCGAAATAATTACACGGACACTGTATTCTTTTAATCACTGCTTGGCCCATTCTCTTCTAGGCTAATTCTCACATATTAATTTAGCCCATTCCTAATCATCTGTGTGTAGCACCCCAAGGTGCGCTTACCGGGGAGATTCTAGCCTAGTCCATCCTGGGTCCGAGCTTCATCACATGTGTCTGCCAGGGAGCAGGGCATGGCGTCTCTGCTGAGGCGTCTGCTCCGGAGAGCAGAGCTGTGGAGTCTCTGAGCTCACTTCCTCTTCCTCCCAGCATTTTGTTCTGTTTACTCCTCCCACCTATCCTCTAACCAATAAAATGGGCCAGGGCAGTGCCTTTATTAGCCAGTGACCTTCCTCCATCATTTCCCCTTTTTCGGTTTAAACAAAAAAAAAAAGGCTTTAACATAGCAAAATTACATATAACAAAACAGTTATCAAGTAAAAGTTACAATAATCTTTATCATAACTAAGGAAAACTATAACTATAACTAACTATTCTTAACTCCATCAAAGACTCCAGAAAGATATAATATTACCTAAGTAAACAAGAACTAAGAAACTTCAAACTCTAGAAATGACAAAGACATCTCGCTGCCTGGACAGTCACCCAAAGTTCTTTTGTACCGTTGGGGCATCCATCTTCAGCCT